CATCTCTCTTTTCCTTCTCTATCGTGCTTCACGTTTTTCCATCCCTTCTTCCCTTTTGTTTCTTCTTCCTCATTCTTCTTGTTCTTCATCTTCAAACATCACGAATGCAAAAGAATAAATTATTGAAGTTACACTTGGAGTTCTTCAGCAGCCAACTAAGATGTTCCGCAAAGGCACCGCACAACTGCAGTATTTCAGGCTCAAATATCATAAAAAAAAATTATAAAACAACATTAAAAAAAATACCAAAACAACTATTTAACAACATAACAACAACTTGCCGCATCATCAAATCCATCGTTCGATCAGACACAAAATTCAAAGAAGTTTGGATATTAAGATAAATGGACATACTAAACAAATGAGCGAAAATTTGAAGAAAGACAACCATGTTTGGTTTTTACCAAACTGATAATGAAAATACAAAGGGTCCCATATTTGAATAACATTAGCGAAGATATCATACATTTTGAACCAAAAAATCCAAGCTACACCAAACAGCAACGAATCCCATATTTGATCATCTTAACCTTTAAAAACCCATTTTCTTTTGAAGCCACCATAAATTTGCTTCAAACCAAGCATGATTTCGTCCAAGCAACAAATTCGCTCCAAAATTTAACAATAAACACAAAATCAGGTTTTAATATTATTTCTAGAAAAAATTTACACAACCCAAGTCCTCTATACGTTATCATGAAATAATTTTGATCTAAAAATCCCAAAAAAAAAAAAATGGAAATAGAAAAGGAAACCCATCGCAATTCATCTTCCATTATTCTGTCCCTTCATTTTTTCTTGTGAAAAAGGATAGTCAAAACCTTGTTAATAAGGGGGAAAAAACTAACCATCACACATTTGCTAAAATCAAAACTCATATACCAACAAACGCATGTCACATGGGCCTTCGGTGGATGCTCAGAAAATCACTGCAGATGTCGTCGTCCCCGTTGCTGGTGGCGCGTCTCATGGGGTTGGAGGATTAGGGCTAGAGATGCGTCGACGCTCACCGCAGAGGCAACTGGTTCTTCCTCGAGATAATTCTCCTCTTGCTCTCCCAATCGGTGGGATCTAAAATTGAAGTATTTGGGGATGCAATTGTTTGAAATTATTTGTTATCGATCTACATGAATTAGTTCAGAAATGAGAAATTGGATTCAATTTTTTAGAGAGATAGAGATGCACGAAATATATCAAGAGGAAGCAAAAATATTGGAACAACAGAGAGAATGAAAACCACTAACTGGAGAAAAATGAAAATAAAATTAGCGTTTTTGACTTAATAATAAGCTAGTCCGATAATGTATATATTATTTTGAAAACGGTGGCTAGTGTCTTTTCTTTATTTCAACAAAATCCAGCCACCAAAAAAATTGATTCGTCTTATCTTATTGTTAAAAATCAGGAACAAAAAGAATTAGAATTTATCCCATATGAAAGAAATCTCATCCAAAAAAAGGAAGTCAAATATATTGCTAAAATAAAAATTTGTCTTCCCAAATCAAAAGGAACTTGAATTTATCCGATATGGAAGGAATCTCATCCAAAACATATTGAACTCATCCAAAACATACTGAATTTCGGAATGAAAAAATTTCAAACTTCCGAAAAAATTTCAAACAAAATTTTAGGGGGAAAAAATGATTTGAGCGGTAAAGTGAAATAATTTTTCAAACATTTTTTCTTCTCTCTATTATATAGTAATAGATATCCCACGCACGCCCTCTCCTCTCCCTTAGCAATTTTTCTGAAATTTCTCTCCCTCACACCACTCTTCCTTCACACAAAGAACCAAAAGAAAACTTGAAGGAGAAAGTCCCAAAAACAATCGCCACCCTCATTACATCTCTCTCTCGGCCATTCTCTCGGCAATCTTCCCTCATTGTCCGCCGGCTCCAGCCTTCTCGAGCAGCCCTTACACGCCTCGCCAACAGCCATCGTCATCTCAGGCCGTGGAAAACAGCCTTCTGTCCATGTTGTCCGACCGAGCCAACCGTTCACGCCCACGGGAGCTGAGTCGCGTGCCTAGCTGTCAAGTCCGATTGGGATCCGATTTTCAGATAGTGTGTAGATTCCCAAAGACAGGTAAGCTTTCGAATTCCTTTTCGTGCTCGTATTCATTTTCTCGTCATGTTATATCATGCTCGTTCAATTGAATTTCGTCGGATGATCGATGTATATATCGGTTCGTATACTCGTTATACTCGTTGTGTTGCTTTATGAGAAATTGACGTGGAACTGGAACTCTCTCTTGTTATGGTGAATCGAATCCTCTTTTAGTTTTGTTTATTGTTGAGGTTTTATCGAGTAAATAGAGCCTCATTTTGTATCCGAGCCCTTATCTAGTGTTGATTGATGTTCGTTTAAGTGTTGAGCTTGAAAACCATATTTTTGACCCTTGTGTTGATTGCTGTTCTTCACCATTGAAACTCGGTCGAATGATTTTGAACTCTTCTAGTGAATTAAAATTCAATCTCTTATGTTTCATCTAGAATAAGAATCATGTTATTATCATCTTTATTCTGAGAGTTATGGCTAAAATTTGACGATGGCGTGTCCAGTTTTTCTGATTTTTCAGTTTTGTGGTCTGTATTCCTTGCTGTTTTTGAACACTGAAACCTTGTCGTCTCTTTCGGAAGTCTTCACATGAATTGTAGCTCAATCAGTTATCTTTCAGGAGAAAAACGAATTAGATGATTATCAGTTTTGTAGTGAGAGTTATGTCAAAAATTTGATCGTTGCGCAGTCAGTTTTTTGTTTTAATCGCAGACATTTTAGTCTGTTGTTTTTGATATTTTTTGCCTGTTTCGGGTGACCTGGGAATTTTAATGTCTTCAAATTATTTGTATTATTTTCTCTTAGATTTCAAATGGCACAAGATTCATTTACATTTTGTACAAAAAGATACGTTCGAAATACGAACGTCGTGCAATCAGTTTTTCTGAAAATTGACAATAGGTTTGTTGTGTAAATTTGATCTATTTCAGCCCTTTAACTTACCCGAATGCACTCAATGTCCATATGAAATTTGTAGTGCCGTCTCTTAGCTTTCTGTTAGTTCAAAGATTATTTCAAAATATTTTCTATAGCAAAAGTTACGCTCATTTTTCGGGGACTGCGCATGAAATGTTGCTGCAGATTTTTGGCAACAGCAATTCTCTTGTGTCAGTTGAAATTTGACCCTTTAAAAGCCCTCTTCTATATTTCATATCTAAATGAAAGTTTTAGTTCTGTGTCTTGAGATTGTTTTCGAGAAAGAATCACTTTTATTCGATTTTTGTACCAAAAGTTATATTCAAAATAAAATCGTTGCGCATAAAGAGTTACCCATTTTTCCGACAACTTGGTTTTTATGTTTTCTCTTGCCCGTTCTCGAGTCATTTGATACGTTTCCGAGCCGAACCTTAATTTCAACCGCGTGACCATCGTTCCGAGTCTTGTTCTAATCCTATGAGAGTTCCAAATTTCACAAGATTTCCACAAACTCCTTAATCGATGGATTTCAATTAAGTATGAATTTCTGTTGAAATTCTGAGTTATCGAGATAATTATTATGAGGATTAGCTTGATTAAATATTGTATGTATTTTCAGGAGGTGATACCTCGACTTACGTACGACTGATTACTTGCTATTACCTACCCGACTTCCAGGTGGGTGTTTATAAATTACTATGCCATAATTCATTATAATTGCTAGATATTATAATCAATGTATTTGTGTGAACCATATAACCTTCGATGTGTGCGGTTTGGACCTTCAATACGGTTATCCCCGTCGTCGTGTGCGGTTTCGACCTTCGACGGTGCCTATTGATAGGCAGTCTCCCTTAGCCTAATGACATGCCTTGTCGTTGTGTCATATGTGTGGTCTCGACCTTCGACATGTACTCCTATTGTTGTGTGCGGTTTCGACCTTCAGTGACTTTTTAGGTGTGCACATGAGTATTATATGGTTGATAGGAGATGTGATAATATTATTGATTCATGTTCATGCTGCGATTCTATTATCTGTTATTATATTGTATTGATGTGCATAGTGGCGAGCTTGTGGTTTGCTCGCCACATCACGTTTTTGTCTGGGGTACGGATAAAAATGGACCAAATTTGATTAAATTATTAAATTATTGGACCCAGTTTGAAAGTAGTCAATGACGGGGTGGGTTTTAGACAGTGGCCAACTTATAGGAACAATTTTGAAATTTTGCCCATAGAATCTTATTTGTAGGGAAATGCTACATTGCCCATAGTATTTTTTTTATTTTTATTTGTTGTCCACCTAGTTGTAAACTAGGTTGGCAATGTATCATTTTTCTATTTTGTATATTGGGTTCGAAGTCCAACCCATATAAAAAGATATTTTTTAATATGAGGTGATTCATTCACCCGATATATCAGGAATTCTATAATCTGGCTTTCCAGATGTCTATTCTAGATGGGATGAGTCATTCACCGTATATAAAAAGTTTACTTTCTATATATCGTATTGTCCGATATAAAAATATGACACTTATTATATGAGTTGAAACTATATAAAAGTTGAAACCAATATAAAAAGCATTTTTTCCACTAGTAATTGAATAGTACCTCAAAAATGTTTAATAATTATTATTACATTAGTGGGATTTATAAAAAAAAATTAAGATAAAACTAATATTAATTTTAATAAGAAATTTCGTTCATTTTATTTTAGTTAGAAAATTAATTTTTATTGATGATTCGATAATAAAACAAAACAAACAAATAAAAAAAAAATAAAATCATATATCCAATCTCACTACTTAGATCAACCAAACCCAACTATAAAAATAATTGCCATAAAAAAACAGGGTTAGGTACAGTTCCCCAAGTCTTACTTTGATATTTTAATTGTAATTGTTTTATACTTTCCCCTATTCATAAATTCCTCCAACCCCATATCTCTCTCTATCCTTCTCTCTCAAGTCTCAATTGAAAAATTAAAAATCTCTCCGGTGATGTAAACCCATCCACCCACCGCCACCATGGGCCAGCGCCGCCAAAAGCGCCACCACCTTGCCACCAAGTCCTACACCCTCCCTTCCTCCCCCACTCACTCCTCCTCCTCCTCCGAATTTGAGTTCACTGTCTCCGCCGCCCCCCGGAAATCCTCCGCCGCCGCCGCCGCCGCCGNCCTCCAATTGCCTCTCCATGGTCCGCGCCCTCCTCCTCTCCTCCGCCTCCACCTCCACCTCCTCCTCCTCCGACACCACCACCACCCGCGACTCCACCGCTTCCCGCTCCGACTGCTGCTCCTCCTCCGGCCGCCCCAGCTCCGCCGCCGACGACCTAGAACTCAAGCTCCTCACCGCAGGCCCCAGATCCAAGCCTTCGTCCACGACGTCCAAGTACTTCTCCCTCCCCAAGCTCTTCCGGAAAGATCATAAGCGGCACGCGCCGCCGCCGCCGCACTCCGTTGGATCCGCAGCCGTGAAGCGCGTGAGCTCAGGTGCGAAGGAAATGATACGCAGGTACCTGAAGAAAGTGAAACCCCTGTACGAGAAGCTCTCACAAAAACAGAAATCCTCTCCTCCGCCGCCGGCGGCGGCGGCGGCATCAAGAATCACGGCGGCGGATGATAATAAGGAAAGATGCGGGCAGGCCAGCATCTTACAATCTTTTTCCGGGAATCTTAGGTTGTACCCTGTTAGAGCTCGAAGCTACGTGTCGAGCTGCCCGTCGTCAATGGGGTCTTCGCCCAGCCACGCCAAAAGCGGGTTTGGGTACGGATTCGGGTGCTCCAGACCGGGTCGGTTCGGAATGTACAACACGGAAGCTTCGTCTATGGAGGAGCTGCAGAGCTCGATTCAGGGTGCGATTGCCCATTGCAAGAACTCCATGCTTCTCAATAATAAGGTTATGGTCAGTAATGAAGTTTGAATTGATGACATGGAAATATGACAAAATAATAATAATAATAANTCAGTCTGTTATTTTATTTTTGCTTGTTCGTTGGTAGACTATATAATATGCAGTCACTTCATGACAGTAGTGAACTTCGATGCTTTGATATTTAATAATTAGTGTCAATGTCAATATTTTCCTTTTCTTCTGTTTGGTACGTATGTAACTATGTATTTATATGGTCAGTTAGAAAAATAAGACTTTGTTATTAACTTTAGTCCATTCATTTTAAAACTAAGTTTGTATTCTTACTTATTTGTACGATTAAATTATATTGGAAATATATACATATATAATAGGATGAATATATATTAATACACTGTTACATAATATAATACATAAGTATATATTAAATTTATATTTAAATATAAAATAAAAACGCACCCAATAAAGTCCAGTTAACACCAAGGTTCTAAAAACCGGACTGATCATCGAATCGGTCAAACTACTTACTCAATAGTTCACTCGTTGGACCAGTAATTGAACCAGTTGGACCGATATTTAATTTATTAATATTCTTAAACATATATAATATTTTATATAATAAAATGTATACATGAAACTATGTTAATTATATATTAAGGTAATTTAAAACACTCAAATACTTAAACTAACTAACAATAACTTATATATATCCATTATATTTAATATGCTTTTTATTTATATTAAAAATATTTTTAAATATATTAAATTTTAAAAAAATGGACCTGTTCAAACCAGTCAGACCGGACAAGTTTTTGGCCGGTTCTGACGGTTTTGACTGGTTCACTGGCAACCGGTTCATTCCCAAACCTGACCGGTCAACTAACCGAGTTTCGGTCTGATCCGATTTTCTAGATCATGGCCAAAACTACCGGAAACAACAAAAATTATCTGGATAAATAAAGAAAATTTTTAAAAAATAATCACATAAAATAGATCTCCAAGTAACCAAATATATAAGCTAAAAAACAAAATTGATTAAAACCATTGTATCCCATGAAGAGAGAAATAAAACAAGAGAACGCCCACAATTTTTGACAAATCGAGTCATCGAAAATTGCAGAAAATTGAACGTGCCGGCACATTATAAAAATCTTAATACTTCATTGGACTATTGCCGAAAATTGAGAGCTCGATCGACGATCAGAAAATGTCGTTACATTGTTTAGGAAAAGAGCTTTCTAAATTTATGTTTTTCAATTAAAAAAAAAAAAAAATCAACGGTGGGATCTGTGGTAATGGTTTAGTAAATTGTAATGCATGATTATATAAAATCCGGCGACGGGAGGCACTTGCAGAAAAAGGCAGTGACCGACAATAAGTGAAAGATGACGAATATATAAAATTAATTAATTTTTAAAATAAAATGTTAAGTAAGGACACATAAGTCCGTTTGGTAATTATATTTTCAAAACAAAAAGAATATTAAAAATGTCATTTATCATGATTTTAAGAGTTTCTGATGTCAATATTGACTGCTTCCTTGTGTAGTACAAAATTTTGATTTTTGTTGGTGAAGTTATGTGATATCATTATGTATAAAATAAAACAATCAATAAAGTAATTTAGCTTTTTATATCAGTCTTTCTATTAACTCACATGAGGCGTAGTTTAAGTACAAAAACACATGATACTATGATAGTAAATATAAGAAATTAATATATATGGGTGAAAGTGCAGTTGAATGAGTTTGAAGATTAGACAAGAATCTTGCATGTGCATTTACATTGCTTGGGCTTTCAGCTTTTTATGGGTCGGTAAGAGTGGGCATTATTGTGTGCATAAGTAATATTTGAATTTTCTGTTGGATCATTGAATGCTTGTCCTGGTCTTCAGTTGCGTTTTGTACTTTGTGCATGTGATTGCCGATTTTGACTAATTTCTTGGTAATTAATTTACAACATAATTAAGCCGCGACCATTCTTTTTTTACTAATACTGATGATGAGATTTTTTTTAAATAACTTAATAATAATAATAATAATAATAATAATAATAATAATAATAATAATAATAAAGTTTTTTGTTTACTTGAATAAACTTTTGGGAAGAATAATTTAGATACATTCTTCAACCTCACATTCTTTTTTTTTTTAATATTTAGGGCGTGTTTGTATAGAAATATATCCGTTCAAACTGAATTTTTTTATCAACCTGTTAATTTTGAAAAAAGTAGAATAATTAGTTATTAGTGAGTTTTGATTTTATATTATAATAATATTTTAAATAAAATAATTAAAGTTGCTTTGATGTAAAAGTAGGGCTGACATTTTTAATCGAAAACCGAAAACCGAACCGAACCGACGAGAAAATAAAGCGAACCGTACCGAACCGCTTGTAACGGTAACCGACTATCGGTTACCGAATCACTATCCGTATGGTATCGATTTGAACGCATAAGAGTTCGGTAAAACCGATACCGAACCGATAAGGGTAAAAGAAAAATAAAACAAAGATTTTTTTGTTAAAACAATGATTAGTTGTTTAGTGTTCAAAAATTGAAATAAGGGCTCAATCCTGCCTAACTCTCAAAATGATGAGAAAAATATCATTACTTATCGCTCATTCACCTTCTAATCGGAACATTGTTGGTTTTCCAGTCTCACTTTTTTTAAAGAAGATGCATGCTACCATTACTGTAGTTTATTCTCGTACCACCGTTACTAGATAAGTTAGTTGAAATTGTATCACAAATTTTATTTATTGCATGTTAGCAATATATTGTTTTATTAGTTGCGTTTACCACAAAAACCATAATCTAATAATATATAAACTAACTTCTATACATTAAATTTAAGCTTTTTAATCCTTCAATGGATTTGTGAGCCTTTTGTGTGTATTTAATTGGTAAGAAGTGAAAAAATTACAAAAATAACGAGAAAAGTAAACACTAGAATTTTTTTATTTTTTTTTTCGTGCTCAAAAGGTTGGTTTTTTGGGTATAAAACCGATACCGAACCGAAACGAGTTTGCGGTTACCGAATTTTCAGTAATCGACTTTAATAGGTTCGGTATAGATTTTGCATTCCGAGGTTGCCGACATTATCGGTATAGTATCGGTATATGCTTATCGGTTCGGTAACCGAACCGATACCACCCCTATGTAAAAGTATGAGAGAGATGATATGAAGTGATGGTTACTTAAAATTATGTAAGTGGGTAAATAGTAAATTAAAGTTGATGTGATCCGGGGCGAAACCACGCTATGGTAAGGAGTGGCCTCGGCCATCCCATAATTTTTTTTTTTAATAGGTATAGGGGCCGAGGTCGCCGGCTGGAGGCGGCGCCCTTCCATGAAATCTGCGCACAGGGAGAGGGAGTCAGGGATGGAGAAGAAGCTCTCCCCGTCTGTTTTTTTTTTTTAATACATTTAAGCCCATTTACAGCCCATTTATTCTGTTAAAAAATGTTAACACATTAGGATCATGGGGGAAGCCCAATTAATGGGGGAGACGGCCAGACGGGATTTTATCTGATTCTATTAAAAAAATTAACACAAATCTTACCAAATTATATCAAATTACAAAACCTAACCCCTTCCCCCTCCAGCCCTCCTCTTGCTGCTGCGGCGCTGCCCACCTGTCTCCCGGCCGGCCGGCCGCCGCCCTCGCCGTTCTGGCTTTCAACTCCGGCGCCGGCGACTCCAACTTCTCCGGTATTTGTGTTTTTTTTTCTCTCCATTATTTTAAAAGTGTAGTTTTACAAATTTCAACTAATCTTTTAAATTTATTTATTAAAATGTTAATTGACTTGTTAATTGTTATATTTTAAGTTAGAGTTTGTAAAATTGTAAAATGTTGGTTTAATTAGTGTAATTATAACTTTATTTGTCAGTTGTTAGAAATTTAGTGAGTTTAAATAATAATAATTGATATGTTTGTATTTTTTATTTGATTATTTTTTATAACATTAATTTGTTGGCTACAGGCTACTTGATTATTGTAAAATTTTATTTGATTTTTTGATAATTAATTTATGAATATGATTGTTAGAATTTGTAAAAATTGTAAATTATTATTTAATTAGTAAAATTGTAACTTTATTTGTTAAAAATTTGGTAATGGCATATTTTATCTTACATATTTATCTTAAAATTGTAACTTTATTTGTTAGAAATATTGAATTTATTGTTTGATTATTGTTATTAGGTACTTTTATTTACCGATCAGGCGATCACCATGGATAAGTTTCTATCTAAATGGAAGAATCCGGATTTATCATCTTCATCAAATAGTCCAAATTTGAATGATAGAGATAGTGGTAAAAAACATATAGTAGAAGTAGAATTGAGGGAGGATGATATTGTTGGTGATCCAGGATTAAGAAAGCCTATTGATAGTTATCCTTTTGAGATTAGAGATGAATTGAGGAGAGCTACTTAGCATAAGGCCCTTGTCAACCACTTGAACATAATTTTCCGAAAACTAGTTTTGGTGCAAATATGAGATCATTTCAAAAGACGTGGTTTGCTCAATATAATTGGCTTGAATATAGTATTCAGAAAGATGCTGCTTTTTGTCTACTTTGCTATCTATTTAAACAAGGTAATACACACGGTGGAGATGATGCTTTTACCGATGTTGGATTTTCAAACTGGAAGAATGCTTTAAAAAAATTCAAGGAGCATGAAGGGGGTTTAAAAAGCGCACATCATTATGCTACAATTCAAAGTTCGGCATTTAGAGATCAAAGACACAATGTGGATTATGTGTTATCACAAAAGAGCACTCAAATGGAGATCGATTATCGTATTCGGCTAACGGCGGTCGTGAAGGCTATTCGGTATCTTTTAGGGGAAGGTTTGCCATTTCGTGGACACGACGAGTCACAAGATTCAATACGACGAGGTCATTTTCTTCAACTTTTGAAGGTGTTTGGCGATCTTAATGAAGAAGTGAGCAAGGTCATTAACTCAAACGCTCCCGGGAATAACCAGATGACTTCTTCAAAAATTCAGAAGGAAATTATCAACGCTTGTGCCACAGAGGTACGGGA